GGGGGATGCTGATACCAGGGGGGGGATGCTGGCACCCGGGGGGGTCGGATGGCAAAGCTCTGCTTCAGCCGCTAGATAGGATCCCCACCCCCACCCCGAGCTGTGCATGTCTGGGTATCAGCTTGGCTGCAAGGGCTGCTGCTGTGTCTGGGGCAGTGTCTCAGGCCCCCGCTTCGGCCAGGGGGAGCTTTAAACCCGCCCTGTTGCCACCCCCACCCTCGGCAGTGCTGCTCCAGGCTGCTCTTTGGTCTCCACTGCCCTTTGCAGGCCAGTGAGATGGGGTGAGAGGGCTTTGGCATGGTGAGAAGGCCATGCTGGAACAGGAATCCCTAGGAAAACTACCTCTCCCGGTTCCCTGTGGGGCTGGGGTACCCTCCAGAGCCCCCCAAGGTGTGTGTGTGATGGAGGACCCTGTCCTCCCCCATGGCTGGCGGAGCAGTTCCTGGGCAGGGCCTCTCCAGAAAAACTCACCGAGCCGTGAGCCGTGAGCGAGCGGTGAGCCGTTTCGTCCCTCTGCCGTCAGCAGCCACATGACAAGTGGACCAGGAAGTGCCAGCGGCTCCCTCCTTCCCCACCACGGCATCCTCGCCGCGGCCTCCGGTCCCCACGGCCATGGGGCTGGTGGCCGGGGACACCCCAGGGTTGTCTCCCAGCTCCAAGGGGGTGTGAAGCGGAGGGCGGCTGCGGGGCCGCAGTTTTTGTCTCCTGGCTTGGCTCCTGCCCAGAGGGTCGCCGGGAGGATGTGAAGTCCCCAGCGGGGAGCCAGGCTTAGAGGGCTCCGAGCACCGGGAGTGGGGTCCCCTGCAAGGCACCAGCACCATGTTCAGCCGGTCGGGATACCAGGCCCTCCCCTTGGGAGACTTTGACCGCTTCCAGCAGTCCAGCATCGGGCTCTATGGTGCCCAGAAGGGCTTCTTCTCCTTCGGATCCAAGCAAGACCCTCTGGGGCTGGCCGGGAATACTGCAGGTGAGTACTGACCTTAGAGGAGAGTTGCTGCCTTCCTCTCTATTGCCACTTTTGCTGTAGGGTGTTGCACTGACTGGGTGCCCCCCACACTGCCGGCTGCCCTGGGGTGCAGGGTGCATGGAGGGAGAGGCTCAGATGGGGATTCACGGGCAGGGAAGGGGGTTTTGGAGCAGGTGCATCCTCCTTTCACCCCCCTGCAGATTCCTCCCAGGGTTGGCTGTCCTGGATCTGCCATGGGATTATCACCTCCTTGGTCTTCTTGCTGATGGTTGTCACCTTCCCCATCTCAGGATGGTTTGCCTTGAAGGTAAGGGAGGAAAGCAGGCAAGGAGTGGGATGACAACCCATTGTCTGTGGGGGGGACCATTCCTGGCTGCCCCTGGTCCCATTGCTCCTGGCACCACAGGACCTAGGGTTTTGCTTCTGCCCTGGTCTAAACTTTCCCATTCCAGATCGTGCCCACCTACGAGCGAATGATCATCTTCCGCCTGGGCCGCATCCGGGCGCCGCAGGGACCCGGCGTGGTCCTGCTGCTGCCCTTCATCGATCACTGGCAGCGAGTGGATCTGAGGACAAGAGCCTTCAATGTGCCCCCCTGCAAGGTGAGCTGCCTTGGGCCTCAGGGCAGGATGGAGAGACATCTCTAAAATAACCAGAGCAGGTGGATTTTGGGAATGGTCTGACCCTTGGTGCCGTGCATGGACCCAATTTTCAGTTCCTTCATCCTCACAGCGAGGTGAGAGGGGTGGTAGCTGGTGCTGTGAACCCAGAGTCCTCACCTGCCTGTGGCTGAAAAGCTCCTCTTACCTTTGCACACCTTGTTCAATGCGTATTCCTGGCTGGAGACATCTCAAAAACATCAGTCCCTATCCTTCCCAGATGTCTTTCAATAACAGCTCTGTGCTGGAAACTGGCCTCACCATTCAGACTAGCCCAAACTTCATCATTTGGGTCGGTTTTGTTTCTAATAACCCTCTTAAAGAGATCTAGAGTCAGTTGCCAGCTGGGAAAGAAGTGAATGCCTTTGCTCCCAGGCTCTATGCACAAGGGTTGGGCCATGGGGCAGAGAGGGGGAGAGATCCTGACTCCTTTCTGCCCCAGCTGACCTCCAAGGATGGGGCGGTCATCTCCATGGGTGCCGATGTCCAATTCCGGGTGTGGGACCCTGTGTTGTCTGTCATGATGGTGAAGGACCTCATCGCGGCCACCCGGATGACGGCGCAGAATGCCATGACCAAGACCTTGGTGAAGAAGAGCCTCCGCGAGATCCAGGTGGAAAAGCTGAGGATTGGGGAGCAGCTGCTGGTGAGGACTGCCCCAGCCCTGCACAGAGCCCCTCAAGCCCCCCAAACCCTCGGGCTCTTGGTGTGGAAGTAACAGTAAGGGAAAGCTGTAGCTGCTGAAAGTCCACCTGGCCATGGACCTGGCCAAGGATGATAGCTGGGAAGATGTGGTGATTACTGGGGAGCAGACACCTTCAGCCTGTGGATCTCTGGAGCTCTGTGGCTTATCTCAAAGGGCTTGGGCCACACAGAAAAGCCCACATGTTGTCGGCAAGCTTAAAGTCGACCTCCATATCTCCACCAGGAGAATGTATGGAGAGGGCTGCAAACTGGAAAAAGCCTTTGGGGAGAGAAGCAGGACAGGATGGTGTCAGAGGGGCGATGACTAGTGCCCACAGCCAACCTGGGCCAGGCCAAGAGCTTGTGGGTTGAATGTCTACAAGGGAGGATATAAAAAGAGGCTGGGGAGATATACCAGTATCTCTGGGGTGTCTGGGCTAGTTTGAAGGGCAGAGATGCTGCCTGGTGGAGCACCACACCAGGCCATGGTGCCCAGGGGAGAGCAAGGAAAGGGGCCAGCCTGGAAGGGAGCCACAGAATGGGGAACAAGACAGAGCTGTCCTCCTTGTCCTGATCTCCTCCAAGCCTGGAGAGCAACTGGGCGAGCAGGGTTGAACATGAGAGTGGACAGCTTGGAGGAGATGGACTATTGAGCCTGGTTCAACACCAGGCTGGTGGGTAACAGAAGTAGAAGCTATGGGAATGTCCATGGTTGGGGGTGCTGTGGTGGGTGGTCTCCATGGCCATACCCAGCTCCGCCTGGGCTGCCAACACCTCTCCCTTTCTTCCTGGCTCTGCAGCTGGAGATTAACGACATGACCAAGTCCTGGGGCCTGGAGGTGGACCGGGTGGAGCTGAGCATGGAGGCCGTGCTGCAGCCACCCCGGGAGAACCTGGTGGGCCCTCTGGCCACCATGCCACCCGTGCCCGGGCTGGAGGGGCCGGATGGCACCATTCAGCAACTGGCTGCCCATTTCTTCAGCAACACCCTGGCTCTGGCGGGCAGTGGGACCGGTGCTCCAGAGGCAGGTAACCAACACAGGGCTATCGCTTCTCTGCTGGGGGATGGCCCTCCTACCTGATGACCTTTGTGTCCATTGGCTGTTTGACAGAGGAGTCAAAGTCTGGGAGATATCACGCTCCTATGAGCATAGCACAAATAGGCTGGTAGGGAGGAGGAGAAAGGACTGCTTCGGGTACAGCTCCATACGGCACGTGGTGCAACACAACCTTTCTAACAAGACATTGGAGATGGGATGGGGGAGGGCAGGAGCAGATTTGCAGGAGCCTGGGTCAAGACCAACTTAGACCTCAGCATTTCCATCAGGTAAACCCAAGCCTGAGCTTGCTGAGAGAGTCACATCTGAGGGCAACATGGATTTTTTTCCAGAAACCCTGCACCAATTTGTGCCTTACTATTTCTTTGAGGGATGATTTTCCACCCCCTGGTAGCAGGGGAAGAGTAACCCATGGCAGACAGAGGAGCAGGCGGTAGGAACTGGCAAAACTATGTTGTCCTCTTCTTGCTTAGCTAGAAACTTGCTGGATAAGTGGGTTTCTCTGCTCTGGAGACCTTTTCTGGTGGGTCCACGCAGACCAGAAAAGCTCACCATCCGAAGGTGTCCCCTCAACCCACTTCTGTCCCATTGTCCCCAGCAGACAGCATGGAGACAGTGAATGAGGTGGAGCCTCCCACTGCTCCCCTCCTCGCCACTGCTGGCACCGCCCGGAGGAAGCCCAGCGCAGACGAGCTGCTCTCGGTGGTAGAGTCCATCCTCTCTGAGGCCCTGGTCAGCCAGGTGGGAGCATCCTACCAGGTCAACATCGCCCTGCCCAGCGGCGCCTGGAGCACCTACTTCATAGACCTCTCCTCAGGTCACCACCCTTCGGGGTTGTTGTGTTGAAGGCGGGTGTTTCATGCCCGTGCCCCCTTTGCATGCTGCGAACCCCATCAAGCTGGGTGGTAGGGAGTCCCAAACCAAGCCCGTTTGGTAGCTCCATGAAAGGCACCCCGGGGTCCATCTGCTGAGCACTGCAGTTTGGTGACCATGGCCTTGAGTCCGTGCTCCCTGAAAGTCCAAAGTATAATTTGTTTTGGGTTAAAACCATGAATTTTCCTTCAGAAAGAGAGTATTGATAGAAAATTGGCAGCCAGATCTCCTCATGGCTCGCCAAGTGGCTCAGAGACCTCAAGGTTTGTTGGCTCTTGTATGCCACCAGCCCAAAGGGGTAGTGATGGAGGGACATGCATGGGCAGCACCTTGGGCCACTGCCATGCTGGAAGATGTCCTCCCAGCACCCTAATCCATCCCTGTGTGGGTGCTGATGGTTTTTCTGGTGGCCATATATGCTGGTTTTGGTTGGGATAGAGTTAATTTTCTTCACAGTAGCTCATATGGGGCTATGTTTTGGATTTGTACTGAAAACAGTGTTGATAACACAGGGATGTTTTCGTTACTGCTGAGCAGTGCTTACACAGAGTCAAGGCCTTTTCTGCTCCCCAACCCACCAGTGGGTAGACTGGGGGTGCACAAGAAGTTGGGAGGAGACATAGCTGGGACAGCTGACCCCAACTGACCAAAGGGATATCCCGTATCATATGACGTCATGCTCAGCGACAGAAAGGTGGGGGAAGAAGGAGGAAGGGGGGCATTGTCAGAGTGATGGCCCCATACAGCCAAAACCATCACACCATGGCAAAAGTAGGACAGGGCTTGGAGGTGGACCACTGTAACAGGACATTGGTGGAGCGACACAAGAGAAATTTATCTCCATAAGGAGTAAGGACTCCTGTCTCCAAAATCCCCCTGCCAGGCCCTTGTCTGTCATCTGGCCCAACTCAATCCGTGTGAAACATTGAGGGAAACACCATCAGGCAAGGCTGGATCCTGAAGCCTGCTGTTTCTCCCTCTCCCACCCATTGTGTCCTACAGGCAGCGGACGAGCTGGCCGTGGTGTGCCCGAGGGCAGCCCCGATGTCATTCTGGAGGTGGCAGAGAAAGACCTGCAGGACCTCTTCTTGGGTGATCTGCGCCCCTTGACTGCCTACATGAGCGGGAGGCTGCAGGTGAAAGGTGACCTGCACCTTGCCCTGAAGCTGGAGGAGCTTGTCAAGGCGATGAAGCAACGTAGATAGAGCATGTGTGTGGGTGTATGTCTGTGTGCATGTGTCTTTGTAGGTGTGCAAAAGCAGGGGACATATAGGGGTGCTGCGTGGTGGGGGCCTTGCCCTGCTGGAGCTCCTGCTGCCCTCCCAGTGGAGGCTGCAGGAGCTGGGTGAAGACCTGAGCAGGGAAACTGAGGCTGAGCTCCATTGCCTGTCCTTGTCCTTGGCTTTACCTCCCCTGCCCATCCTTTGCCTACAACACTGTGGGATGGGAACCAGTTAGCACCCCAGCATGTGCCAGTTTGCTTCCAGGTCCCTTGGCCAATATGCCACCAGGGCACAGACCGATGTCCTGCTGCCCCCGCAATGGGCTGCGTAGCCAGGCATCTCGGACTGGAAGGGGCATGAGCTGAGCAGATTGGACTGGGAAGACCCTGGGGACACTGTGGCCAAGAACGGTAGTTGTGGGGTGGGCAGCCGAAGTGGGGCACGAGGGCTGGCTGGACCAGGCTGGGATGCCACCAGTGGGCTGGGGTCAGGGTCCAGCGTGGCACTGCTGACAGGATGCTGGGATTTGTGGGGAAGGAGCAGAGATGGCAATTTGGGGAACGACCTTCCTGGAGGTACCTGAGCCTTCGTGACACAGCAGTTTGTAATAAGTCATTGCGCTAATTTGTGCTTCAAAGTGCTTTTGCATGTGTGCTGTGAGGTTTATCCGTGGGGCGCGTGTGGACTGTAAATAGGCGTATATAGATATTTATTTATTTTATAAGCTTCCTTTCTATCAGTTCTCCATGGACAATAAACCTGCTCTGCAGCCTTGCAGTTGGGCAGTGGTGGGCTGATGATTTCTGCAGGCAGATGGGGCTGCACCCCTCGGTGCCTCAGTTTCCCCAAGGGACCCCAGGGTGCTGCGTAAAGAGGCCACGTGCTGGCCAGGGCGTGGCAGCTGCTGCCAGTCAAGGAGGCTGCATGGTATGACTCCATCTCACTGCATGGTCGTGATGAACACATGAAGCCCTGCCACGGTGAGCAAGAGTTGTCAGGATGTCTCCGGGAATGCTCAGCTCCCCGACAGCACCCAGCACCCCAGGGGTTAAAATGTCTTGGAGCTCCAGGCAGCTTTTTCAGCCCCTAGGATAGTTTGCTGGACCAGTGGGGCAAGCCTGGCTAGTTTTGCTGGCCTGCTTATTCATGCAAAGGGCTGCTTGCCAGGGTGAGGCAAGGAGAAATGAAATGTTTCCAGAATTGAACCCTTTTGAATTTAAACGTTTCACAGGTGCATTCAGGTCAAACGACCTGCTAAATGTCCTCTTCAAGGCCTGGGGCTGGGTGGCACCAACCTGGGCCAAGCTTTGGAGATCCCACAGGCATCAAAAGCCCCGAGGGGAGGTGATAGTGCCCCACCGTGCCCTTTCCTTTTGGAGCTGCCAGGCTGGGTGAACCCCAAGTACTCCTGGTGGTCCCCTGTTCATGGTGGTCCGCTTTTCTGTGATGATCCTCTTTTTTGTGGTGGTCCCCCGTTTGTGGTAGTCCCCATGGTGCAGGTGGCTGGGGCATACCGATGCCCTGCAGAAAGGGGCAAAGGAGAGCCAGGACACAGCCAGTCCCCCAGGACATGGGGATGTGGAAATGCCCTCCAAGGTGTGTGTGGGGGGACAGTCCCTGATCCCCCTCACAGCAGGGCCCTGCAATATATTTCCTGGGGATGCTGCTCCTTGGGGAAATGCCTTTTGGGGGGGATGGCTCTTGGGGCCCCCTCCGGGTTTCTTCCCTCCTGCCCTGCCGGGAAGGGCTGAGCCGGCCGGGAAGGGCTTTTCAGGGTGGGGCCGGGGCTGGGAGCGGGCTCTGCGCAGCTCCCCCGCCCCGGACACGAAGGAGGAGTTACTTGCAGCGCAGGAGGAATCGAAAGTGCAGGCAGCGCAGGCAGACGCGGGGGGATGCGGGCGGTGGGCTCTGGCGGGGCAGGGGGCTCGGGGGGAGGCCACCAGGGACTCCCAGCCCCAAGGCGTGGCCTGGGGACGGGGCATGAGGATAAGAGTTTTGGGGTGTCCTCCCCTCCCCGGTTGGGTGAGTGGCAGGGAGGGGTCCTCAATCCAGCCCCCCCAGCCCTGCGAAAGCACAGAGGCGGGAGGGAAGAGGGAGGCAAGAGACCAGAGGGATGGGCTGAGCCAGGGAAGTGGGTGGGGGGTGGCTGGGAGAATGGTCCCCACCCTGCCATCCTGCCGGGGTGTCATCCAAGGGTCTTCAGATGCTTCCTCTGTGCCCCATCCTCTGCGCTGCCCCTATGCGGCCCTCCCCAGCCCCATAGCCGGGGGGCCATCCTGTTTCCTCTTTGCAGGGCCCTGTCCATCCAACCTTACCATGCTGCACTGGTCATCTCTGGCCTGCTTAGAGGGCCTGGGCATTGCTGGTGGGAAGTGGTTGCTCACTGGTTGCTCCAAGTAGGGTTTGCAGGTCCATGTGTCCCTCCAAGATGTGGTTTCACAAGCTCTTAAAAACACATCCCAGTGCGAATTCTTCTTCCTCTCTCCCTCCCCAAGCTCCTAGAAGAGGACTTCCAGTTCATCCTTTGCAAGGGCTGCCAGAAGGAATCAACCAACCTCAAGCTTCTCACCTGCCTCCACACATTCTGCCTCAATTGCCTGAGCAAGAACAAGGCCATTGGGCAGTGCCCCGTGTGCCGGACGGCCATCCCGCAGGCCAGTGGCATCCCTGACACAGACAATCTGCTCTTCAGCAGCCTGCAGGCCAGGCTCAGCATCTACAAGAAGATCGTTGACGGAGTTGACTTGTTCTGCGACAACTGCAACAAAGCCGGTGAGTTCTGGTGCTCTGAGTGCAAGGAGTTCCTCTGCACCACATGTTTCGAGGCCCACCAGCGCTACCTGAAGAAGGAGAGCCATGAAGCCAAGAAGGTGATGGACATCAAGGCAGGGTCTGCTAAGGATTTCCTTGAGAGCATCAAGAGGACCAGTAACTTGTCCTGCTCCAACCCAATCCACAAGAACCAGCCTGTAAGGTAGGTCTAAGGAGGACTGTCCCCATCTAGGTGGTTTCTTGCTACAAATCTCTTTGGGCTAGTCCATGATGGGACTGAGCAGGGTGTCCCTGTCCCTCTGCTGCCCTGATTGCCACCATGTCATGGAGAAGATGGGTGGGAAGTAGTGACCAGTGGGCTCTAGGGCATGGAGGGAGGGTTTGGATGAAGGCAGGTTTGAGCTGATAATGGGAGAGTGGGGACAGGGTAGACCGAGGGAGGGGAGTGTGTGGGGTGCTCCTTGCTAGAGTAAGGAGGGTGAGGTTGATGGACCTCAGCAAAAGGAAGGCCTTTTGCTTCAGCTGCGATGATGGACAGCAGAGAAGGGTGTGTTTTGCTGATGGTGCTAGACCTCCACTCTCCACTTCTTCTATTCTTGCCTTAGGCATCTTATGGAGATAAGATACTCTTTGGTCTTACATTCTTATACATAACCCCAATAAGCACTCATGGAAGGGCAGAGAGCTCATTTCTTCACTGCCCTTGCAGTGCGTGGATGAATGTCTACCATAACGCTTGCAGTCACTGCAGTGACTTTAGTCAGCCCAGCAGAGGAGCAGAAACCCTGTGGAAATTGTGAACCAACATATTTTTTTGAAATTGGGAGAGTATAAAACCAAATGCCTGGCCCAGACTTGGTGGTAACTTAAATTCAATGAATGAATGAATTTGCAATTTGATACATGAATGAATTGCAAAGTGCACGGTCTAAATTTACTGCTTTGCTTGTGCTTGGCCTCACAGCATCTACTGCAAGAAGTGTGAGAAGCCACTGTGCTGCATCTGCGCGCTGCTGGACAGCCAGCATGCCCCCTTCTGTGACATCCGCAGCGAGACCCAGCACAGGCAGGAGGAGCTGGTCACCATGAGCCAGGAGCTGAAGCAGAAGAGAAGCAGCTTTGAGGCCAGCTATGTGGCGCTACAGAATGAGGCCACCGAGCTGGAGCAGGCACAGCAGGAGATGCGGAATCTGATCCGGCAGCGTGTGGAGCAGCTGGGGCGGCTGATCCGGCAGGAGGAAGAGGAGCTGCTGGGACTGCTGGATGCACGGCAGTTGCAGGGCCGGTGGGAGCTGGCGAGGGAGCTGCAGCACGTGGAGGGGGTGCTGCAGCGGATGGAGGGAGGTGAGTGGCTGGTGGAGAAGATGAGTCTCTACGCCACGGAGCAGGAGGTGATGGACATGCAGCCCTTCATCAAGGACTCGCTGAAGGAACTGCAGCAGCTGCGGCCACCGGTGGCTGGGGACCGAGCGCAGCCCGGGAACTTTGCTGAGTGCAGAGCCAAGCTGCAGGCGCTGGTGGAGCGTGTCATGGGGCACCCAGGTGAGAAGGCACTTGGCCAGGCGGGCTGGGGAGGGAGGAATGGAAAGCAGAGTTGAAGGTTATAATCCCTGGTTAGACCATATTCTCCATGGGTTTCAAGTCTCCTTCCACGTGGTGACTTGATGGACCTGTGGCTCCAGCCTTTGCTCATGCGGTGGGCACACTCCAACCAACCCCAGGATGGGATGCAATTGTTGCATCCATCACTTCCAAAGCAACGCTTGTCTCTTGCCCTTGCAGAGTATGGAGGTCCCCCAAGCGCAGTTATACTGGGAGGGAACATGGTGACTCTCTTGGGTTGGAGCCATGCTGTGGGCTGAAGGACAAGGGAGGAGAGAGGCACCTGGAGATGGGGTTTGTTGAGCAGGGGCTCTCAGAGGCTGGTGTTGGCAAGGAGGAAGGAGGTGGACGGGTTATATCAAATCTGCATCCTCTCTGAGAAATGTTTGTGCTAGTGACATGTGCAGGTCCCTCAGGGGTCATAACCATGCTCTGGACCTTAGTGTCCTGCCACCCATTGACCGCTTCTGCTCCTCAGATCTCCAGCCAGTTTGTCTTTGCTCAACCTTTGTCCACAACCATCTGGGGCAATTCTGCTTTTGGGTTGTTGATTACTGCCTTGGGATGGCATATCCAACCAGGAAGGAGAATTGTTCCCTGGGAGCACTCCCCAACAGGGGTGGCAAGAGGCCCAAGACTGCTGCTGGGTTTGCCCAGGTCTTCCCCCAGCTCTTCGGCAGCAGCTCTGTGGTGGAGATGCTGGTGGTTTAGAAATGGTGAAGGCCTTGGCATCCGTGGTGTGTGCAGGGATGGTGTGCTGGAGGATCCAGGTTTGGTCAGAAAGTGGTAGCATCCTTCCAGAAAATGGGGGGGGGTGGGGAAAGCAATGGGAGGAAGAGACTTTGTGGGGTCTTCTGCTCCACCCCCCTGCTGCTGTCTTCAGACCTGGGCTATGACCAGTGTCCTCCTTGGCCCTCTGTGGTCATCCACCACTGAGCTCCCCAGGGCGAGCTTATGGGCAATGGATGGTCCATAGAAGAGCCCAGTGGTGATGTCCTGGATGGAGCTTGGGGTTTCCTGGGGACAAGCTGCCTCCCACCCCACTCTTTGCCTCTCCATCACAAGGTCGGCATCGTCCGTCCATCTCCCCTCTCCACCCCACTGAGGCAGGCCAAGAGGACCCTCTGAGCCCTGATTCTCCCCTCCTGCTCCCTTCAGCCTCCCTCCCCGCAACAGGTACCTCCGCTCCCCAGCATGACGCCCCATCTGAAGACAAGATCACCCTGGTCCTTGACCTCGAGCCTCCTGGGGAGCATTGCCAACCACACGGAGATCCCCCTGGGGGGCTGCCTGCTCACCACCAGCCCTGTGCCCCTGTGTCAGACCCCTCCGGTGGCAGAGGACATGTGTGTCCAGACCAGGGAGGGGATATGTCCCCCACCCAGCTGACACCTCCAGCCCTTCTGATGCAGAGGGATGAAGAAGCAGAGGAAGACTTGGGGTCAGCCCATGGGGACACTGTCCCTCTTCCCAGGAGCATCCAGGACTCTTTGGCCTCCCTGCAGGAAGATTTCAGTGGCTGGGCCAGGTCCAACATACAGCAGGCAGACAAGCTCCTGAAGACAGGCGATTGCCTCCTGCAAACTCAGCAGAGGGCAAATAGGCACCTGGTGTCCATGACCCAGGAGATCCGGGCCATGTCTCGCTCCCTGGCCACCATCACCTCTGCTCTGGGACCCTTGCTGCAGCCTGTGGCCAGCCCACAGGACCCCGCTACCGCAGACGTGCACTGGACATCGCTGCCCTCCAACCTGCTGGATTTATTCCCTCCCAGCACCTCACAGAAGCCTGAATTGCTGGTCCCAGTGGCTGCCACGGCCCCTTCTCCAAACACACCCCCTCCTGCCACCCATTCTGCCAGCCCAGTGTGCTCAGAGCCCCCCAGCCCGGACTCTGAGGGGGAATGCCCCAAATCAAGTCACCTCACCAGGGGCAAACGTGGTGGGAAGTCTGGCACCAGACTTCAGAAGCGGAGAAAGAAGTGAGGGTCTGCAAACCAGAATGTTTGCCATGGACTGCAGCTGCTTGGAAAACTCTTTAAAGGTCCGAATGGAGACCAGGCCTATGGAGACCATCTCACCTTGCTATGCCAATAAATCCTCCTGGGATGAACGGTTTGGTCTTTTGCTGGGTTTGGGAAGGCAGCATCTCCCCCATGAATGAGCCCTGCATGGCAGCTCCTTGCTTGGGAACAGCATGATCCTACTAATTTTATTTTTTCTTTCCTTCCCAGCATTCCTGGCTTATGGGTGTGGGATGGGTGGGAGGGCAGCAAACCTGTACGGGAGAGCTGGAGGAAAGACTTTAGTGCAAGGATGAGTGAATGAGCTGGCGGGTGGCTGGGCAGAATGGGCACCTCTCCAGCCCAGCCTGCAAGTTCACTGCTGGATTTCAGCCTCAGTAGCATCTCCAAGAGGTCACCCTCCAAGGAGGTGGCTCTAGAGTCACCTGCGCCTTCTGCAGAGTCTTTTCTTGCTGGTCTCAGACGTCCCCAGCATTGCTTGCCCTGCTCTCAGCTCACTGTGTTTTTCTTCTTTCAGAAGCCACCCCAGCTCCAGCTGCAGAAAAATCCCACCAGGTGAGACTTGGTTTTGCTTGTATTGCTCTAGGATTTTTTAGGAATCTGGGGCTACCCCCAGCCCTTGCAAAGTTGTCTGAGCTCTGGCATTTGGTTGCTGCTTTCCAAGGTCTCTTTTGAAAGAGGAGATCAGCCAAGCTGGCTGGGCATAGGGCTGCAGAGCCAGGGCAGACTTTGTCCTTTGAAGGCACCTTTCTGACTAAGGTGCAAAAAATGCCGCTGCATGCACTGTTAATGCACGTGCTATCATTTCCTGCCTGCACCCTGCCCTGCCCTGCCCACATCGAGGGCTGGCAGGGGAGAGGTGCTGTGACTGGTTGTGATGGATTTGGGGCCCCCAAACACATCTCCCACAAGAAGGGCAGAGCCCCACTCAAGCAGAATTGGCCTTCAGCAATGTTGAAGGCAAGCTCTCTTCTGGTTTCCAGTCCCATAGTGCATGAAGGACTTGTCTAGCATCAGACCTGGTTGCCTTTGCCTGGGACAAAACAGCCATCACAGGATCAGGGCTGGGGACCCCCAGGCTGCCCCTCTGTAGAGAACATTCCCAGCCACCCCAGCCTGGGATCAGAAGGGCTTAGCCCTGCCTGCAAACCCTGCAGAGCCTGGGAGCTTCAAGGCTGAAGCAAGAAGATAAAGATGATTTATCCCGCCAGCTCAGGAAGGGGCGGTTCCCATCTTCTCCTTTGCAGCTGTTAAGCAAACTAGAAAGTTTTCCTGACCCTTGTTGGGGAGAGAGGGGACCTTGACAAAGGTGGTTGGAGTGGCCACAGCCCAGGAGAGCCAGGGGCTTCATGCCAGAAATGAGGACGTGGTGCTGGGTGACCCCAGTGCAGCAAGGACCATCTGGGCAAGCAGAGCACTTGCTTTGGGCAGGGACAAACCCATGTGGTCAAGCTTGTTCAGCTGTGCTCTGGTGACAAAGGGTATCTCCATCCCTGACTACACAGGGCCGCTCTCACTGGGCTCCTCTTTGCACACTTAGGTCTCCACCTCCATCCCTGCAAAGAGGAAGAAAGCCCAAAATGTAGGTGTCATGACGGTGCCGGTGAAGGAGATGAAGCTTGAAGAGAACAACAACACGAGGAACCAGACAGTGCCGCAGCAGCCAAGCTGCTCGGACCAGCCTGGGACCAGCTGTTTGGTGTCCCGCATGACTCTCATCAAGGAGGAGAGCCTGCTGGAAGACGTGCCAGTTGGCAACAATGGGTTGAACGACTCGGGTAAGAGGTGTCCAGAGCAGTGATGCCATGGGTAGACTTTATGGGGTGTAGGCATCGAGGCAGGGCAGTTTGCGGCATCTCCATAGACCTCCCTGGAGGATAGTTATGTCCCAGCACATTGTCTTGTTCAAAGACAAGATGTTCGGTGGAGACTGATGGAGAACCAGACTTTGTTCCTTCAACAGCTTGCGTACTCTTAGGCTATGTGATGCTGCATTTTGGTCCTCTCTCCCCCATAGGATCTTGCCCAGTATGTACTCTGTATCTGTGGCTTGAGGGGGAATCAGTCCTTTTTCAGGTGGACCCTGAGGGCAGGGTTGCTCCCTGTTTGGTCCCCACCCACCTTGCTGGCTGTCCAGGGCCACCTCTCGGCATGGTTGGTGATGCCAATCGGGGGACCATTGGCCCTGGCACTCACTGCAGGGGTGGACAGCCCCACATCCAAAAGGTGACATATCTTTCCTGCCTTGGCAGATAGCGATATGCTCTGCTTGGACAGCTGTGAGGAGGACAGCACTGATGATGAGTTGGTGAGTGCAGCTAAAGAGCTTTGAGTACTTGGCCCTGCATTGCTCAGTGTGTAAGCCAGGAAAACTGGACCGCTTGATGCTTCCAGACCTTCAGGACCATCCCATAATCCCCCTTAGAGCCTGGCAAAGAACTTGTGAAATCCTTCCTGAGTGCCAAAATAAATCCCCTCTAGCTGTCCTCCATTTCTGGGGGAATGGGGCTGCCCAGCAGCTTGGAGACCTTGGTAGATACCATCTTGGTGATGCCAAGGTGGTGAGCAGCCAAAATGAAGGCCAGCAAGAAGTGGCAGTCCAAAACTTCACCTCCTCTTTGAGGCTATGGATGGATGGGGTTATTTTGCAGCAGCGAGCAGCTCCCATGACAGTCTGTGTGACCAAAAGCTGGTGACAAGCTCTTCAGAAGAGGTTTTAGAAATGGAGAGCTTCCCTCTCCTGCCTGCTGTTTGCTGCGTTAGGCCCTTGGCTCACAGCCAGAGGGAGATGTTGGGTAGTCCCAACTTTTCTGTCACTTTTGAGCAGAAAGCCAGTTGGGAAGGATTCAAGCGAGCCATCTCTTGTGGAAGTGCGTGGAGTATGCATGTCACTTTGTTTTGCGGTGCTGGAGGACGCAAGCCTTCCTGACCAACCAGAGGAGCTTATTACATCCTAAGTCCTCTAGCAGGCAGTTTGGGTAGATCCCTGAGTTTTGGTAACCTCCAGGACACATGAGTGCCCAGAGCTGCTGCCCTGGTTCTTCCTGTGACATTTATTAAAAGCAAATTGTGTGCTCTTCCAGGACTCCAGTCTGCTAGATGACCCCAGCAACATCCTCGACGAGAGCACCGGTAAAGACTACCTGGGTCTTCCCAACATGGGCCTTCCCATCAGCAGCTGCACGCTGCTGGACACGAGACAAGGAACCCTGGTCTTCTTTGACGTGAAGATTACGAGTAAGATCCTAAGTGGGGAGGTCCCATGTTGCAGCTTTGACAGATTCCCACATCTGTCAGTGTCTCTTTTTTTGTTGGGGGGAAGTTCAGGCATGTCCACCATGGCCTTGGCTGTTTAAGAGAGAGGACAATATCCTGAGCTCCCAAGAGGCCTTGACTTTGAGTTTCATGACATCTGGAGGAACGTGGAGCTCATAGGGCCATGGGGAGATTTCTCTGAGATTGCTCAGCCAGTTAACCATCCTTTGCGCTGTGTCAACACGGGCTCCCCTGCTTCTCCTTCCCATGGGTCAATCTCTCTTGGGTGAGGTGGATTTTACTTTTCAAGCCCCTCTCCTTAGTCCACCCTCAAAAAGCTGTAAAAGCCCTTGTGTTCCTGGTGGGGGGAACACTGCCAGAGGTGTTAGTGTTGATGGGAAGGACACTTCTGAAGGACGTTAGAGATGCTGGACGCTGAGGGTGTGACTGAATGGTGGAGACAGGTAAAAAGATGGATCAGTCTCCCAGCTGCTATCGATTGTGAAGGCTGTTAGAGGCTGAGTAACTCAATGTTTTATTTTCCTACTGAATAAGAGACTAATTCTGCCTTTCCTCCCTGTCAAATCCTCTTCCCTTCCCCCTCCTCTTCTCTAGAAGAAGGAAGCATTCAGATGGCGGTGGTAGATGGAGAGAAAATATTCCCAGTCCTGATTCAGCCAGTGAAATATTTCTCCAGCTTGATGGCCCAAAATAATGCCTGTGAGGTCGGTCTGATGAAACTGCTGGGCCACCTCAACACTGTCCGCAGGCCCGTCCTGGGTGGCTTTGGTCTCTGGTCACTCCCCTTGCCCGCTCTCTTGGATGCGTTGATGCTCCTGAACAAGAAAGACGAGTTCAGCTCTGTCGTGTATGGTTTCCTGGACATTTTGCCCCTGATTAAGGAGAAGATCCCCAAAAGGGATAACTACAGGCTGAAGAACTTGGCCAGCACTTACCTCCGGTGGCACTTTGGTGACTGCAGCGCCAGGGAGAACGCCTGTGTTGTGAAGTACCTGTGTGAGTTCCTGAACGTCGACCTGGTCATGAAACCCTGGCTGATCATCAGTCAAGCCAGCCTGGAGTCCTTCATCTCCCTCCAGCCCTTGCTGGCTGAGAAGCTCCTCACCAAACCATCAGCCCAAACATTGGCTGCCCACAACATCGGCCTCTCTGAGCTCCGGTCCTGCTACCAGCACAACCCCGAGAAGGGGCTCCAGAAAGTGTGCCGTCTCATCAACGCTCGCCGGCACAGCTCAATAAAGAAAGTCCGAAACCTGAGCAAGGTCAAAGTCTACTTCCAGCGACAGGAGCAGTCAGCTGAAAGCCAGAAGACCCCGGCAGACAGTGATTTCCCAAGAGCCATAAAGAGCGAGGAAAATTGTTGAAAGACGCTGTTGCCTCTCCAGGACTCATTCCGCTCTCACCTACAGGGAATGAGTCCTGGAGCCAAATCCTGGCCCACATCAATAGTTTTGCCTTCAATATTTCCTGCCTGGTCTTGTCTGGGGTGATGAGTCTGAGTCTCTGGGGTTTGAGAGTCTCCTGCTGTCCTCTCTCATCTGAACTTGTGCTCAGGTGAAGAGGTGAGGACACCAGCTTGGCTGGGAGATGTTCTGGCTCTGATCCACCCTGCAGCCACACCATGCCTTTGTTTCCCACCTGGATAGATCAAGCCAACTCTTGGGAGAAATCTTTCGAATGATTTCTGGCCTTTTGGGTTTTTTGGGGTTTTGGGGGTCAATGGGATCCGAAGCCAGCTAGAGAAATAGCAGGTGGGGAAACTGGTTTGGAAGGACCAAGGATGGTGGTCATTGCTAGGAAGGAGGTTGGGCAGGGCTGCTCTGTTCCCATGAGCTGCTCTGTGGGACACAGCTGTAGGAAGAACTGAAAATCCTCCTTCGGTCAGCAGGATCCATCCCCACTAGCCTGGGATATGAACCTCCTAAGTGGGCACACAAGGGTAGGGTTTTCCTGCTTCTCTCCCTGCTTTCCAAGCTTAAAGACAGCCAAGGAATTGCTTGATCAGGGGATGCATCCTCATTGCTCTTTGACTCCTGTGCCTGCCTATAGATGCGGAAGAAATAAATCATTTTCCTAATTTGTTGTGCATTGCAAATGATTTCCTTTTGCTACCCATTCCCACAATACCCACCTGCTCAAAAAGGCAGATGTGCAGGGTGGTGGGTGCTGCAGTGATGGGTGCTTTGCAGCGTGATGCCCCCTTAAGCCCACAACACAGCTGAGGTGAGCACAATGAGCATGGGATGACCCATGTAGGTGAGACGTGCAGCTATCCCCAAGACAGGTGTTGGCTTGAAGACAAGCAAGAGAGCACTGAGGTCCTGTTTGCTCAGGGAGGTGCTGAGAAAGCCCATCAGCCTGCTCCCCATGGGAACAACCCAAGTCATTTCCCTCTGGATGGTGCATAGCTGTCCTGCCTGCCGGCAGCTATCCAGTTTGGATAATACCAAAACAGCCTGATTCAGCCATGGCTATCACCCGAAACTCATGGGCATCTCACCTGGTCCTCACCTGTGTATGCAAGCAAAGCAATGAGCACACTAACGTTCACCCAGATGCAGGGGCAAAGCAAACATCCTTGTGCTGTCCCTAAAACCCCATACAAGGACTCCTGTCCAAAGCCATGCTCCTCCCTGGTGTCACTTTGATATACAAACTGCTTTGCCTCTAGCCAGGCATGAGGAAGCTTGCAGGGTGATTCAGCTGGGTCAGCCTGCCCCAGTCCCCTCCCTCTGGGGACCATGGAGGGGACAACCTGCTGCTGAATCATCCCAGGAAGGGATGGACTGCCCAGACACCGTGGGGACCATTTTGCCCCAGGTCTAATAATTATTAGAAATAATTATTATTTCTAATACCTAATAGCTCTAATATTATTCCTGATAAGGATTATTCTATTCATTATTTTACGACCACTCATTTCAACACCAGTCCTGCCCAGCAAGCCGGTGGCTCCAGGGGACAAGTCTGTTCAGGAAACAGTTAAACAACCATGTGTGCACAAGCATTTTCCTCCCTTTTGCTGAAATCCCAGGAAACACAAGGAGATAAGGGTGGCAGCACCAGTGCAGATGCCACTGTGTGGAGTCTGATCCTGCAGGAGCGAGGATACAGTTCAGGGTAACCGATGGGGATCTCCTCCATGATCCCCCTTTTTCCTTTTAGTCTTCCACCTAATTCAAGTTTAAACTTCCTCTTCTTCCTCCAAAAAATCAACTTTTGCTTGGTAGAGAAGAGCCAGCCATGAGTCCCTCACATCCTGGAAATCCCCAATTGCCCTTGACATGAGTGGCCCCACGAGGATCATCTCCTTGAAGGAGCTGGGGACAGGGACAAGTTTGGGCACCTGAAGGGTTTGCCTTAGGAAAGTGTCACCCACCATGCCATCCCCCAGCAACCCCCCTGCAGAAGGGCCCCATGGTCTGGAGGTGGGACATATGGTCTGAACATGGGACACATCTCTGTGGATCTTACACAGCTGGTTGTTACCAAGAAACGGGAAAAAACTGCAGTTGGCTGCACAGCAGACTCAGCATCTCTGCTGTGGGCAAGGGACCCAATCCAGCAGCCATTACCTCATTAGAGCCCACCAGGATGGGTTCCCCAGGGAACTGGGTGCTCTCAGCTGTTGCCAATTGCCTTTATGGGGGAGGTATGCTGAGCATCACCTGGGGTGGGAGTGACTGTGGGAGGTGTGGGCTATAAAAGGTCCCTGGGCAGCAGTTCCTCCTTGTGCTGGACCCTGGTAGGCAGGATGAGGCCTGGAAGCAGCCTGGGGTTTGCTCTTTTCTGCTGGATTTTTGGGGAGGTGGTTGCTTACAACCCCTGGGGCTTCCTTAGAGGGGAAGCAGAGCTATGGAGGTACAGAGGAGATTCTTCCTTGGGGCAGCCCCATGCCTTTTCCCAGCCCTCTCCCTGGGCATGGGTGGATGTCTCCCAGCTCCAGGCTGCTGCCCCGCTGCACCCTGTGGCTGTGCAGTGCCAGGAGGCACAGGTGGTGGTCACGGTGCACAGGGACCTCTTTGGCATGGGACGTCTGGTCAGGGCAGCAGAGCTGACCCTGGGCTCAGCTGCCTGCCTGCCTGCAGTCTGGAGCACTGCTGAGACCACGGTGACCTTTGTGGCTGGACTGCATGAGTGTGGCAGCACCCTCAGGGTAAGGCAGTGGGGTCTGGAGCTCTAGGGTGGGGGTCTACCTCTTGGCTTGCACCTGGATGTCTTGGGATGCTGAGACTGGCAGGGGGTTGTGGTGTCAGTGGGCTCAGGGAAATGCTCCAAAGCCTCTCCTAGAGGCTGAAGATCTCGGTCTGCTTTTGAAGGGCAGCAGAAGCTGTTCTGTTTGGCCCAGGGGCTAGCTCTGATGTTGTGTGAGCAGGGAAAAGCATGCAAGAGGCAGATAAATTAGTTTTTTCCTGATGAATACACAGGTACCTAAATCTCTGAAGACTATTTATGCTGTTCCTGCCACCTCCAGGGTGGAGCCTGGATGACCTGGTGCTGGGAGTTGCTGCTGCAAGTCAGTAGTGGATGCTTACCTCAGGAGGCATCCGAGTGCTGCTTACTGCTGCTTGAGTGTAGCATGAAGCTACTTCAGAGAACTTAAATTCAAAGTGGTCCCTCTCACCTGGGAGAGGCTTGGGGCCATGAGAGTGAGCAGGTGCCCCCTCCATATTCCAGCCAGCAGATAACTTCATTAAATCCCCCTGAGCAGAAGTCACCCTCTGATATCCTGGGGGACAGACCTTTCTGTCTGCTGTTCTGGGACATGGAAACCAGAAGGGGGGGGGGGGGAAAAGAATTGGCTTGAGCACCTCTGCATCCAGGTCTGCTGCTGACCAGAGGCTGTTCTGGGACAGGCTGGAGCAGCTTTGCAGCCCTCAGCATCCCTGCAGCAGGATGAGTGCCATCGCCTGCCTCCAGTGCAAATGCTGCTGGCTGATGACCAGAAGAAACATCTCGGCACTGAGTCTCTAGGCTTAAGTGTGCTGCTCTGTGTGCGTGTGCCAAAAGAACAGGGCTCTTGATGACTGGATAATGTGTTTTATCTTTCCCCAGGTGACCCCTGATGCTCTAGTCTACAGCACGAGCTTAAATTACAAGCCAGTTCCTGCTGGCAACCCTGTAATCATCCGCACCAGCCCTGCCGTGGTTCCTATTGAGTGCCACTACCCCAGGTGAGCCAATGCAGACGAGTACCAAGCAAGCCCTCCTGCTGCCACAGAATTTAACTATGGGCATCTCTCCCCAGGAGGGACAATGTGAGTAGCAATGGTGTCAAGCCCACGTGGGGCCCCTTCCACTCCACCCTGTCCTCCGAGGAGAAGCTGCCCTTCTCCCTGCGCCTCATGAATGGTAGGTTTTGGGTGAGGGTCTCCTCTGGTGCAGGCCACCCTGGGCTGGTCTCTGAGGTGGCCTTGCTTCCACTAGAGGGCACAGCTGGTGCTGGTATTGCCCCAGTGCTCCTGGAGCAGATGGGGTTTGGTACAGTTTTGGTGAGTGCTCAGGGCCTTGTGCCGCTTGGGTGGGAGCGGTGAAGCACAAGCTGGATTCCCATTCATGAGTGCCTGGTGACCTCTCTCCTTCCAGATGACTGGAGTGCTGAGAGAGTCTCCACCATGTTTCAACTGGGAGAGGTCCTCCACTTCCAAGCTGGTGTTAACACAGATAACCATGCACCTCTGAGGCTCTTTGTGGACAGCTGTGTGGCCACCCCAAGCCCGGACAGGAGCTCTTCTCCCCAGTATGCTTTCATTGATTTCAGTGGGTAAGAGCTGGCTGTGCCCTTATTTAGAGACATCTTTCTGCAGGTTATGAATATCTCTCACAGTGGGATCCTGCTGACTCTCATCTTTGTGTCTAGGTGCCTAGTGGATGGGCAACTGGATGATGCCACCTCGACTTTTATATCCCCAAGACCCAGGCAAGATGTGCTCCAGTTTGCAGTAGATGCATTCAAGTTTGCAGGAGACTCCAGCAATCTGGTAAATCCTTCATAAAGCAAGTGAAGTCTCTTGTCTAGACAGGGCTATAGCCTCACTCCATTAAGGAAGTTAATGTGGTTTTGTCTAGAATTACATTCCCAAGGCAACTGCCTCATAGCAACATATGAATGAGGTCACCCTGTATTACTGCTTCTGGATCATGGCCCTGTGAGCCAAGGATCTTCCTTAGAGATCAGTTCTGATACTGGTCAAGTCAAGCCCTTCTGATGGGCTTCAATAGCTGAACCCTTAAGTGGCTTGAGAGAAGCAGAGGGGCTTGAGCTGACCTGGGGAGTTGGTGGTCCCGTTGGATACCAGCTTTGTGGTGCATGGGGAAGCCATAAAGGCAGATGACAGCCTAACCCCCCTGCTCTGCTTGGCCT